TTATCTATTTAGGAGACACTTAGAGTAGTTCTCATTGTCAATTTGTATTTAAAGTATATGTTTCTCATTTCCTCTTAATAATCGGTTATTAAGAAAAATATCTGTTTGACTTCTTTTCCTCTCATTAGTTAGCATAAAAGAGCTTGGACTGGAGCAACAGTGTTTTGTTCGAGTCCTGGCCCAGCCACTCAGGGACCATGTGAAACTGGACAAGTGGCTTGACCTGTCTGCGCCTCACTGTCCTCATTTATGAAATAGAAGGAGAACCTATGTCATTATATTAACACAAGAGTTAAAAGGATTAGTATTTGTAGAGGACTTCAAAAATGCACAGCAAGTGCTTTATACTATTTGTTGAGTAAGTTAAAGAAATATATTTCAAACTTTGAAGAACTTTCATTACATGTATAAAATAACCACTTTTGTTTGCCTCTGAAACACAACACCCACCTTTTTGTTTGTAATATATTGGGCCACCTTTTCATTTAAAAACAAACCATTTCCATAAACCCTAATTAAACTTAAGAGATTGTGCCCCATCTTGATCGATTATGACCTGCCCCAAAGCAGATATAAAATGCTAATTGCACGCTTAGATTACCTTCCCATCTGAAAATACCCTTTTCATCCTTCATCGCACGATCTATAATGTTCTCACCACCACCCATGGGTGAGAGTGAAGTAACCCCAGTCCCCAGAGAGAACCTTCCAATGAGCACGGGTGAGACCACGGCCTCTTTCCTCCTTCCTCCATGACCAGAGCCACCAACGATTTCACTGCCGCCCTTTGTCCTGACTGTACTAACATGACTCACTCTTATTAGTATAAATGTGAACATGCTTTTATATGAATTTCCATACTAGAAAAGTCTGCTCATTTAACACAAAGCATCATTTCAATCACAGGCGTTTTGCTTTTTATTCATCTGAGATGTGATCAAGAAGAAATGTGAAAAAGAACCTTTTTTTTTTTTGCACAGCATCTACTAACATTTTAACAAATTGATTTTTGCTAAAAAATGAGCATAATACATTGACTTTTAGAAAAATGAAAGTAAAGGTTTCTCCTGCATCAAAATATCAGAATGATTTAGCTGAGTCCAAGAAGATGATCATAATGGTTGAATCACCGAGAAAGAAAAACACATTCTACAGAGAGCAGAAAGAGAGGGGCAGAGAAAGGCCCGCGGCGGACGGCTCAGCTGCTGAAGGACACTTTCCCCTCGTGCCGGCACTAAGGGCTCTTCCCGATGAAGAAACCATATGTCCATTGTTATCTGCCTCCTTTCACTGAGATTCTGCTGCTTCACAATATTCCCTTTGTCCCAGGCCTGGCCTCATCTTTCTTCCACCGCCCCCGCCCCCTGGCTCCCCCATCCACACCTTCACCTCCTTGGGCAAACCAGTATTTGTGCCCTAGCTACCAACTTGAACATCTGCTACCTGGGAAAAAAAAAAAAAACACCTCATTGCCTAACATCCTCCAGAGCAAAAAGTTGAAAGGATTCAGCATCCTCAAAGAACAGCCCAAGGGGGTGGAGTGGGGGGAGCATACCTTTTCCAGCTCAGTAAATTCTAAATCCTGTCTATATAAAGACTGAGTGAAGAACACTTTAAAAACTCCTCCAATCTCACCTTGCCAACAAAGTACTGTCTTTCTTGTGCACAAAGACTTGCACATTGGACTTGACTTCATTTTTGCAACTGTCTCCTTTTCAACATATCAACACACAGAAGAGAGAGCATATATACAACTCTAGAGAACAAAATGCCAATATTTCTCCTGGATGGTTTTCTCATCCTTTTTTTTATTTCTGTCCCCAAACACTTCCTAACTGAAAAATACAGAAGTATTTTCACTGAATTAAAGTGAGCCTTGTGTTAAAATAGCTTGCTTGAGTCCAACCAGAACCCATTTTTTAACATTTTATTTCAGCATTCCTCAGCAGCTCTCCCCGTTCACTCACGTTTATCAGCAGACTCATCTCGAATTCCCATCACCATACACCTTTGCCCTCAAGCTTTTACCAGTCCATTTCCTTGATATGTCTGCACTTAATTTGGTTCCATCTTTCATGCTGCTTTCATTATTCTTAGTTCATCCACACCACATAAATTATCACCTTTGTTTTCAGTTCCCCATGTGCCCCATTCACACCAATTCCAAATAAATACTTCTGATTCTCATCCATTTAATCCAAATTAATTCATATTCCCTCCTTCCATCCTTCATTCCCATCTCTGCGTCCCTCCTGTCTGTTTCTCTTTTTTATAAGCACATACTTTCCCCTCCATGCTTGTCTCTGAGGATGCAAGGCGGCTGCTTCCTGTGTTGTCTGAGAAAAGCTCTGGTCTACATTCGTGTCGGCTTCAAAGGCCAAAGCCTGCATGTCCAGTCTCAGCCTCCACAACTGGTGTCGGTGAGCATCGTCACCCGCACACTGGAAGTGCAGGAGTGAGGACGGAGGGCTTCTTGCTTTTTGCTGGTATTTAACTTCGGCTAAGTGGCTTATTGCTAGTTTATATAGAGCTGGAAGCTGGGGGTGGTTTCCCATGAAAACATCACTGCTCAATATTTACAGCAATAGTAATAACTACAATGAATCCTACTGCTATCTTTTAATAAGTTCTTATAAGTATTTTGCATAGAGTTTCTCATTTAATGTTTGAAACAACCTAGGAGGTAAACACGATTGTCCCTGCTTTACAGATGAGGAAGATGGGGCTGCGTAAGGAGAAACAACTCACGCAGGTCACAAACCCAGGAGGCGGTAGAGCCAAAGCTCGAACCCAAGTCCACCTAACTAACCTAACCACAAAGCCCCGCTCCCAGTCACACCACAGTGCTGCCTTCCCAGCAACGCAGGGGGCCTGAGTGCCTTCCCCTCGGGGAGGAGTCTTTCCGCTTCAGCCCCCCAGATGTAAAGTGCTGAGACGTGCTGGGGAACATAACGAGCTCCACCTTGATAATCACTGAGTACACAAGTCCCCTCAAACAAAGCACCAAATAACACATCACCCCAAAAAGTGATCTTTCTGACATGACACATCTGTTGGGAAGAAGGGATAAGAAAAAGAAGAAAATGCTCTGAACTCCCCTCCCACCCCCCAGAAAGGAATCTCTGCTTCCCCAGAGCTGTCCAGCCACCATACTAGACAGGACATGGCCTGTCTTGGTGTCAATAATTCCGAAATGTGTCCATCACCATGAATTCTATACCCCTAATGAAACTCAACGTTCTCGCCTCATCCTGCTTTCTCTGCTTTCCTAGGGGGAGCGGGAGGCGAGGCGTGACTGCAGAAAGGAACACTGGAATGTCTTGTCATTACTTGACTTGTGGAATTGAGAAAGAAATGACCTTGAGGACAATACCACAGAAAAATAATGCTGACAATAGGAAACATTAGCCTTGGTGTGTGTGCAGTGGAGAACTTGAAGGCCAACTCTGATGGGAAACCATGAGTGGGACTCTGCACCTGAACCACAGGGCTCGAGAGTTGTCTTAGGAAACCTTCCCATGAACCGAGCAAGAGCCACGAGGGAAATGAAGTTCAGGGTAAGAGAAGCGCGTGCCTGAGTCCCGTGCTGAGAGGAAGCAATGTCAATGCTCACCCTCCCGTGGGAAGAACTTTGTGGCTCAAAACGGTCATTTCTTCTAGTCACATTACAAATCCCTACAGCAGGGAAGTTCTCCTGTCCTGAGCAAAGACACTTCACAGAACCCAGAACAGTAGAGCTGAAAGGGGCTTTAAGAGCCAGATTACATGACAGGTGTGGGCAATGAGGCCCAGTGAGGTAAAGGGGCACACTCAAGGTCACAGAGCTAGTTAGTGGCAGGATGGAAGCTAGAACCCAGGCTTTTCTGCTTTTCCAGCCCGTGAACTCTGCAATGCATGATTCCTTGGTGGCACAGTCCACCAACCGCCAGAGAGCACCAGAAAGATGAGTGGTGAGCCCCCACAGAACTCTTGTCGGACACCTTCTAGCTGAGATTCATCACCCACTTCTCTCCAACAATACTCTTGCTCTGCGGCTTATACTTCTGGAGTTTTCCCTATTCAGCTTGTACAGTGCAAGCAGCAGGAAATATGCTGTCGGGACTTGTTAAAAACCCACCAATGACAGTAATTGCTCCTAGGATGCTAACACCAAGAGGAGATGCCAGTCCTAAAGCTTCCATCTCAACGCAGAAAACAAAGACCAGTTTCAAGGAAAATGCCAATCTCAGCCTTTTCTCGGTAAACCCCACTCTTCCAAATCATCCCATCACTCCAAAGATCGATATGATTCCTGGGAGTCACTGCAGAAGTCCTGAGTAAAATATGCAGTACCCGTCGGTCCCCACCCCACACCTACCACACACATAGCCACGTAATCACTTCAGCAACTTCTCAGTAACAAGCTCATTAAAAAGCCATTCTGCCACCTCTCCATAAAGCATGCGCCAGAGAACAATGCAAAAGAGGAGATGCCAATTAATTATAGAATAATCACATCTAATGAACTTTGAAACCCTCCTGCTGTTGACGGCTTTGATGAAAAATCACGGATGCTGGGAAAAGAGTGAATGGGGACACCCCGGCTACCTTGTTTAACTGAATTCTTTTAGATGGACCTCCTCAGATCCCACTGCTGATCAGAACGGCAGAACTACACTCATGAAACAAGGAAAAGTGTCAGAAAGTGACAAGTGCAAGGATCACATGGGGCTGAGTCACACTACCAGAGCCCCGTTTACGCAACCTCAGAATCATTCGATCCTATGCTGTACAGGGTCAGCATTGCCTCTGAAAGGGTCTCACCAGCCAAACACGAGTTTGACATGAGTGACAAACCCATGTCCTGTGCTCAGGACCTCTGGAGATCCCCACCCAGGCCCTCCTGCCTTCCCATCACCTCCTGGTTGGCAGGGACGCCATGGAATAAAGAGAAGCCCTTCCCACCAGGAGGCTAAGGGAGGAAAAAGAAGAAACCACGTGCGGCCAACTTGTACCACTACCTGTGTGAGTCCTCTGGTGGGCCTTTAAGTGGGAGCTTTTTGTATAAACTTTCCGGCACCCGTTAAACTGACAGCGGTGAACCCTCTTCTTGTTTTCGGGGCATGCCTCAGCCCCCACCCCTCCTTGTTCACTGTCGCTCTGTCCGCTCTTAACTGTCCCGGTTGCCGCCACGGCTGCAGCTGCCGTTGCCACCCCTCCCACCTTTACTGAGCTGAGTGCGGCCTTCTTGGCCACCAGTTTCAACGTCACTGTGCCATCCACGGCTGAGAGAGTCTGTGAGGTTTTGACCAGATGGCGGCTGAGCTCAGGGGATGACGGGGGCGTTAATGAGGTCACTGCGTTGAGCTGGGCCTGGTTGACGGCTGTGTAGCTGTCTAGAGAAGAGCTGGTTGGCTGGAGACTGAGGCAGGTCTCAGATAGCAACTTGTCCCGAGAGAGCAAAATGTCCACTGCCGAGCTCTTCTCGCAGATGGCCGCTTCCACAGGGAGCAGCAGGGGGTCTAAGCGCCGGAAGCTCTCCTCAATGCACGGGGGAGGAGAAGCGTGGAGGAAACAGTCCAAGTCCTCGCCAAAGGTCTCCGAGATCCTCCTGGGCTCCGTCTGTAGGTAGCGTTCCAATTCAAGGCATGTCTGCAGAGGGGAGGGAGGGGGGAGAGAAACAGCTATCAGAGGCAAAGAATACCATGAGGCCACAAGATGACAGGCAGAGGAGGAAGATTCAGAAAGATACAGAGAATGGTTTCACGGCCCGTATCTGAAAGTCTCCTACTGGGAGGTGTGACCTTGTTATTGACTCCTTGAATACTCCTGAAGGGTTCATAAGGTCACATCATATGAGTGAGTTCAACCACTACACTTGATGTGAAACTAGAGGCCCAGGAGGGCTCTCTCGCACTATCCAGGTCCCAGAGAACATTCAAGGTTAAACTGATCTCCTGCCCCACAATCCAATTCAGCAGGTGAGATGCTCCAGGCTTCCCTAAGAGTTCCCACCTAAGCACGAAGCAGCAGAGTCAGACAAGGTCTCCACAGCAAGACAAGACTCCCCCTAGGCCAACTTTATTTCTCAAGTAGATGAGCAAATCACAAAACTAAGCCAATTTCCCAGCTTGCTCTGAAGAACAAACCACATCCCCCCGAACTAAGGGGCGACCTCAGGCACAAGCAGCCCACATCAAGTCCTGCCTGGAGCACGGATCCCTGCCCATCAGGAATGAACGCTGTCCTAAAAGAATACCTGTACAAGCCCCCCTGTTGTTCACAGTAAGTCATTCAAAACACAACTGCTACATATTTTGTGGCAAGGAGCACAAGTCCATTTTAATCAAACACAGCTATCTGACTTGTTAAAGATAAAACCCAATTTAACTTCAACATGAAGTTTTCAACCAGTAAAGAAACAGAGAAAAAGGAACCAGGAGGTCACAATTTCAACAAATCTTCATCCCTGGTGCATCTGAGTCTTTTGTAAGATGGTGGAAGCACTTTTATGGCAAAAGTGGATATTTAAATTTCTGGTTTAAAAGCTTTCCTCACTTAAAAATCCTACTCTTCCAGAACCTGGGAAAAAAACCATGGTGCTTACTTGCACCAGCTCAATTTGTTCTAACTTTTGAGCTTCAACAAAGAAATACTGATGGCAAATTTCAAATGTGACTAGCTCCTAATTCACTGCCTCTGTACAGCTTCTGTGTTTTCAACCAGTGTTCTGATTCTAGGCCTTTATTCTGTTAAGAATATATTTTAATGATAGACCTAGTTGTGTTGCATCTGTCAAGGATTTTATTGTGGTGACATTTCAAAAGATTGGTTTTTAAATCAGCCTTCTGGTAAAACTCTGCATTACTGAATTAGAAAAACAGACTTGTACCTATGAATCACCTTCGGGTCTCACTGTTGGTTTTTAATAGTATAAACTAATGACTAGTTCCAATCTTCATTCAACTCTCATGTCACAAGTGTTCATTCAACTACTGTCTTCACAGCAAGGTGCAGGGCTGCCTGCACATTAGGAGGAGAAGACAGTAAGAGATCCTTGAGATGCAGGGACAGAATAAGCAATTACAAGCTAAAAATGATGTAACTTTATGAAGCAAAGTGACAGCAAGTAACACAATAATAAAGTGTGCTGATAAGCTCTTAGGAGATGAATGGACAATGAATTCTACACTCTATAATGTGGAGGTATTAGCCAAGGAAAGCTTATTTGGAAAAGTAACTTTTAATTCTGCTTCACTTATTAAGTAACAGCTCTTGCTGAGTAGCTTCCCACCACTGCATGTTTGCAACGGGCAACACTACCACCTTCTCAGGTCTAAAAAATTGCACTGCCTATACTTGCCCCTTTTCTGAAGTCTATGCCTCAAAATTTCCCTTTCCTTTTCCCATCTCATTCATTGCTAGAAATTGTAATTTTCTTCTCTGCAGTATTAAAACCCTCAGTCTAAGCTCCAGGTAATTCACTTCTGAATTAAAGGATCTTACTCCTGAAACCTCCCTTAAACTTCTCCTTCTCTTTCTCTTTTTTAAAGATTTTATTTATTTATTTTTAGAGAGGGGAAGGAAGAGGGAAAGCGAGGGAGAGCAACATCAATGTGTGGTTGCCTCTCACATGCCCCCTCCTGGGGACCTGGCCAGCAACCCAGGCATGTGCCCTAGACTGAGAATCGAACTGGCGACCCTTTGGTTCTCAGGCTGAAGTAGGTGGCCCTCAATCCACTGACACACCAGCCAGGGCTCCCCTTCTCTTTTTAAGCTGTCACCTTCCAAGCACAGTGTCTGGCACCCAACAGGTACATAATGTCTATCAAACAAAGATAACATCAACTTTATACCATTACTTTAATCATTCTACTCTACTCCACATGACAAAAGCCAAATGCAGACACCCTATCCTGAACCAGACTGAGGCTGGCAATCCTGGAAATGACCACTAACCCGTGTCTTCTGGAACACAATTGTAGTGCTTCTTTAGTTTTGTCCAAACAGCAGAACCAGACTTTGGGGACACAGATACGGTCCAGGTAAAAACCAGCGGAGTCGTGGGGTATAAGCAGTCCTTGAGGCCGTTCTCCGCCTCACGTGCAAGTACTAGTTTACGCCCCCAGTCACCACTGTCTATAAATAGAGGTTTTACATGTTCTGTCCTTTTATGTGTTTTGTAGCTCAAAGATTTTAAAGTCACTAAAAACTTGCTGTGATTGTTACGAAGCTCTTATTTCCTTATATTCAGAGTTCTGAGGAACTGAAGATATTTAAGCATATTTACATACTCTCCTAGGAGAGTGTAAAAAATGTAAAAAATAACCTAGTCAGGGTGGCTGAGTTAGTTGGAGCATCATCCTGTACACCAAAATGTTGTGGGTTCGATTCCTGGTCAGGGCATATATCTAGGATGTGGGTTTAAGCCCCATCTGAGAGCCTGTAAGTTCAACTGACTGATGTTTCTCTTTCCCTTTCCTCTCTCTCCAAAATCAATAAACATCTTCAGGTGAATATTTAAAAATAATAGTAACAACCTATCCAGTATGCCCTAGTTTGAGTCCCAGGTGCACACGGGTCATACTAATGATCTAAGTATGAAGATACCTCCCATCACTAAAATCTGGGAAAGTCTGGACCGCTTAAGAGAAGCTGTCACTTGCAACCCCGATGAAGGACATTCTTATTCCATCTGAGAATTACAGAAGCATGAGTACCCATTAAGATGTGCTGAATAGCCCTATGAAATCATTGTGGAATAATTTTTGTCTTGAGAAAGCAACTTCTTGTAATACATGCTAGGGATAAAGCTTAGAGAAGATTCTGTCAATCAAAAACTCATCAAGAATGTTGAAGACTGAAATGTTAAGAATGAGGTGGGTTTTAATGTTAGATTATTTCCAAGCCAAAGAGAAAGTTTGTCTCCAATTTTTAAAATGATTACAAGAACTTTATTTTAAAAAAGAAAGAAATGCCTTATGATGTTTAATTAGATTTTGAGGTATCATTAGTTACACATAGATTTTAATACAACCACACAGAGGTATATATAGAAATAAATGTGTATATACATGTATGAGTCTCTCTCTCTCTCTCTCTACACACACACACACACACACACACACACACACACACACACACACAGTATAGCTCTGTCTATGGGAAGAATCTACAAGCAAAGATACTCCAGTAGCAATGAGCACCCCTGCCACAGAGGTCTTGGCTTCTAAATATCATTGTCCAATAAAGGAACCAGGACTCCTTGGAGAAATAGTTGATTCAAAGGCTGGGGCAAAGAATAGAAAAGAACCTAGAATATCTTGTGGTACCAGAAGGTAAGGAAGTGTGCTCATAAAGTGATGGAGGTATGTCAAAAAGACTCAGGTGCCAACTTGAAGGAGCTCTGGATGGCCAAGTCTGGACAATTTAAACAACAAAAATGAATAATGACAATAATGGTGTCTAACCCATGGAATAAAATTAATACCTATGAGTCTGTAGTGATAGAAGTAAATAACTGAACAAACAAATGAAGAAGAGTCAGCTCCTCCTTACAGTAAAATTGCAATTAATAAACACAGAAGGAATGATGGAAACAGAAAATCTCCATTAGGCAAACAACACAATAATAACAACTACAGGCAAGAATCACCAATGGGTGTTAAAATTAGTAGATGGGAGGATAATGAGAAACAAGATACCTGCCTAGTCTCAAAGTGTACCTCCCAACGAAATATTAGTTACAAAGGCAAAACCAGTCATTTCACAGTAGAGAAACCTGGCGTGTACCACCTGAATCACATGATCAAAGGAGGCAGCATCTGTCATAAGACACACTCATGTCACGTACCACTGCCATGACAGGCTGACAGGAGTGCAATGTTATTCTGGGTCACTCCTGCCAGAACCACATAACCTCCACCTGATCAGGAGAAAACACCAGACCCCTCCAAACTGAGGGGCACTCATAAAATGACTAGCTGGTATTTTTTAAAAGTACCGAAGTCATGAAGAACAAAGGAGGGCTGAAAAGCTGCCACAGAGTGAAGGAGGCTAAGGAGATACAAGAAAATGCAATGAACCCTGGCGTGGATACTGGATTTTAAAAAGGACGCTGGTGGGAAAAATTTGCGTTTCAAAGTGCACAGATCAGTTAACGGTATCATATCGATGCTAATTTCCTGGTTCTGATCATTGTACCATGGTTATGTAATAGTAGGGGAAGCTGAGCAAAGTATATACAGGAACTTTAAGTACTAATTTTGCAACTTTTCTGTAAGTCTAAATAATTTCAAAAGAGAGAGGGAGAAAGAGAAGAAAACACCCAACAGCAAACCAGGTGCATCTTCAGACTATACATTTGGATGTAGAGTTCAAGTGTTTGTTTTTCCACCAAAACCCAAAATTTACTCTGTCCCGATGACACTCTAGACAGCAAACTCCAAATCTGAGTTGGTAGATATAAGTTTAATGACAGATTATGTCTGCCTCGTACCTTAACTTGGAAAAATAAGGTTTCCCTCGGCCTCATCTAACAATACAACTCAAGGCTGGAGCCACTGGCTCAACCTCCACCCCCTCGAAAATCCACTAGGGTCAGCAATGGGATGGAAATGGACCTGGTGCAAAGGGGTTTTCTTATTACTCGA